GTCAGGTTAGTTTGAGACTAATATGGAACTAGATGACAACAAATTCCAGATGGCTGTGAATCGGCTTATTAAAATTGTTTACATATAAAAAACTGATTCCGCTGTCCTACTAATTGCAAGTTAATAAAGGTCAGTGTAAGCAAACAGTCGGGTAGACTTGATAAGCGTTTGTAGTTCAGGTGAATATGAATTCACACATCTGACTTAAACATTTCAGTTCAGTCTTGGGAAAAATCCTAATATGCATGGAACGATCGATTCAACTGAAAGGTTTTAGGCAGCCCTTTTCTCCGTGTGTTGCTCTTCACATACAAGACTTTTAAAATTTATTTTATTTTGTTTAGGTACGACCGGTAAACAAAACTCTCTAGAGGCACATTTAATTTACTGCGCATCACTTCACTCTAATGCATGTTGTCTATTTCTTTTCAATATTTTTTACCTTTCTTTTCGATACAACCCATCCATTAATTCTACTCAAAATTTGGTATCAGGTTCAGAAGTGCTAAGATTTTGATTAGACTGGGTTATTATCTCTGGCGAAGGGTGATTGGCTGAGAATTAAATTAGCTGTGTTTCCTTTAGAAAAAACAGCAGGTGTCTGGGCCAGCTATAGAAATTAGCCAAATAAAGACTTTTGATGTTTTTCCCGAGATAGTCTTGTACTCAGATCCGACTGAAGATGGCCAAAAATAAAAACAGAAGTTTAAAAGCTAGTTTAATGCTATCGTTGTGATGGTTAGCGCTTCGCTGTCATAAAGGAGAAGGGAGGGAGGGGGGAGGGAGAAATGATAAACGAAGAAAAAACTAACATTTATGCACCTCGCTCACTTAATAAGTACATTTCTAGGCTGATCTCTGTATTCTGTGACATATAATTAATTAACCTGTATGGGTTCACTTTTCGTCAAAGATCTATTTATATATAAGCTATATAAAACGTCTTCTTGAGTAATATTAAGAATTAAAAGGTCTCCTGAGCGCTCTTCATCCTTGTTAAGACACACGTTTGATCTGGCTCAGTATGTGAGCGATGCATGACTGACAAAAATTTCATGACAGTTTCGGTAGAGACCAGTTCAACTAAACATTTTCCGAAGGTGCATCATATAAACAGAAGGTAATGTGAAAAATTTGGAAGAAAACACGCGTCTTCTATAACTGATTCAATGCTTTAGTGGGGATAGGGGCGTTGTAGGCCTTTAACACACTCTTCCTCAGCAAATGAGCACTCTCAGAATTACGAACATCGCAGTAAACTATCTGCTTGTTTATATTCTTTCCCTCCTCTGCTTCTGTTTTTGCTGTGTTGTGTTAAACAGCTTTTTGGGTGGAGTATGCCTTATAAGGAGCTGCGGCGCGCATTGGCCGTTTAAACGCTACGCGTGGGACTGGGTCAGAGTCCATTCCTACAAACAGTCCCATAGTGCAATTCGACGCAACACTGATCCAGTCTCCCTCGATCTATATCCAATTATTTTCTAGAAGTTTAGTCCGTCATTCATCATTTTTCATTTCGTATATCTCGGCTATGAAAAATTGCACAGACCTGAATCTTGGCGAGGGTCTTTGCATATTCACTTCCTTTCATTTCCCATGCTTTAGCTTCCCAGCATGCACCTGAGGGCACCCAGGTCTAAAAATACCCAGCGTTTACATGCATAAACCATACTTCAATTTTAAATAAATAAAACAATCAACAACATCACTTGATTCCGTATTATGAGAAGCAAAAGTGTGATTTATTTATTTTAATTCCTGTATTTGAGAACCATTTCTTGATGAAAGCGGCGATAAATTAACTTTGATCCTTTCCTTTGATGACGAGAACTGAGCAACGTAGCTTACACATATTTGAAAAATTGGCGTAAGTTTTGCGGTTTTCGTTTAACTTAAAAAATACAACGACGTCTTACTTGGAGGCCACTAACTTTACATGGTCGGACATTTCAGAGTGCCTGGAAGACCTGTTCAAACAAATCATAACCGAATAATTTAAAACTGTCGTTTCGGCTAAAGATAATGAGAAATGTTTTCTTCTCAAGTCTGGATGTCACAGTAAGCCATTAGTTTATATAAACATTGTCACATACAAACATTATCATTAGAATTCAAAAGGGATAATGCCTGTTCTTAGATCAATACCCGACGATATGCTAATAAAAAGGAACCTAACATTACGCCTTGTCACTGACATCAATTATATTCAGAAATGAAAGGCAATGTTTCCTCTCTAAAACGTTTAGTCTTTCAATACATTATGTATTACATTGCGCGCGCGACCAACAGAAAAAATGAGACCTGAAAAAAATTGTTATTTAAATATAGCATTGAGCAACTTGATATGAACTAATAGATAAAAATTTCTGAAGGAAGCCTCGAACTTGCTCGCGCTCGGACACGCAAAAAAAGCTCTGACAAAAAAGACTCTAATAAAAGTCCCTCTTGATCGACACTGCATGAAAGCCTCGTTGTGAATCTTGACTGTCCGGTTCACTGAGTCTCAGTTGCTTGGAGTTAAATTCAGCTCGTTTTATAATTCTCCAAACAAAGCTGTCACACTAAAGATACCATGAACAAAATCTGAGCAACATTGTATCCTACTAGAAAACAAGACTTTCTGGAAAGTAATACAAAAATCTCAGCAAGTGATAGTAAGAGCGCTGCCTTCGGTGTATTTATACTTTCAACCCGAATATTTGCGCCAAAATCCCAAGTTCGTCATTACAGCAGGCCACCAAGTCTTCAACTCCCTGCGGCATTCAAAAGTCCACTTATGGACAAAGATACTCTCTTAATATTGTTCATGTTTTGATGATCGCTTAGTGCAAACTAGACTATAAAGAATGCATGCCTCAATCAACTTCCCGTATTGAAGCATAATCTTGATATGATATTTGATTTGATAATTGAGTTTGATAAGGAATAACCTCTCGATTATCAAAAAAAAAATCGTTCGTCACAGATCTTCCTAAAGTCGGGTCAGACAGCAAATGTTGCTGCAGTTTTCATTGATCTGATTTCCTCTCTTTTTGTACGCCATGAATCGGCACACACATGAAGTGTTAGGCACACAGTACAAATAGCAAACAAAAGGAAAACAAATCCACTTCCCACTAGAATACGGGAAAGTTCCTCGTCGACTTTGCCGCAGTAAGATCTGTCCAGGATATCTTTCTTTGTGTTGAATAATCTTGAGCATCGAAATCCAACGTTAAAAAATATAACACTTGGAGCAAGGAAAAGAGAGGAAGCGATCGCCAGGCCCCAAACTGCAAAGTTTGCCATGGGGAATGCGGTTCCAATTTTTACTCCAGGTATCGCTGAATCTTTGCAAAGCATAGGTAATCAAGATAAACATAAGCAGCCATTTTTGCACTTTTGGGTGAGAGAAGTGCGAAAACGAAGCTGAAAACAAGCTGAATCTAATACTTCGCCTCTCTATTTAGCAGCGGTGGGAATCTCAGAACTGTATGTGTCTTTCCAATTCGCTTGCCCGTTGCACAGACAACCGCAAGTCGTAAATGATTTTACACTGGTTGTCCTGTTATCAGGCAGAATAACGGTGAGGGTGTTGATGGACTCAGAGAAAACATCTTCGTAGTTGTGCGTTATTAGTATGCTAAAAACGCCAGAAAAGCAATTGATTACACGGAATACCGAGCTTTTTACGTCCGGGGCGGTCTTTCGATCACGCTACAAGTGATTAAAAATTAAAATAAAAGTTGTTGTCACGATAGTTTTATTTTCTTGCTATTTGAAGAAGATTGAACGATAAATCCCCCGGCACGGGGGCGTCAGTTTTATAAGCTTGCTCCAGGCCGATCGGTTTTGCCATCCGTTGTGGAAATACTTTTTTGGCCTGCAGGCATTAATGGCAAAATTCAAAAGCCGCCCGCGCAAGAGGAATTATTCTTAATAACTTTGCGGTTCATTAATATCTTTGATTCCCTTTCATTTGGCTTAAAATTGAATATTCCTCACGTACGAAGAATGCTTTAGATAAACCGTTCACACGATCATATGTACGTAGCATATTGTTAATATCTAACGTAATTGTATTTCCGAACGGAAATCGCACGCTTTCTGAGCAGTCAAGAGTGCATATAAGAGTACAGATCTCTTTCCTCCCCTGTTGCCACATTTGCAACACTAAGTGATATGTTTTGTCGTGTTCAGAGAAACATCTGTAACATATCGTAACATATTATTTACGAGTAGTCAAATTGACGGTCGATCGTTTCACCATCAGAAACGTTAAGGACCAGCTGGTCTAAATTGGATTCATTTTCCATTTCCAACTTTTCAATAACAAAATTGCCACTCCATTTGAAATAAATAGAATGTATGCTTATTTATAGCGTTCTTTGGCGGCATCCAATTATAGGCTGTGTTTTAAAAGACGCAAATTCGAATCTGATTCTGATCGTGTTTATTTAATTGACCTCTTGATCGAACTTATCTAGTTACAAAATTCGGCCTTCTTTTTGTCTTTTTTTTGACGTGCCGAAGCTACTAAGCAATATTTTGTTGGTTATAAATAAATAAGGAATACTAAAAAAGAAACCTAGTGACCTACATTTTCTCGTGGTACTGTCCCGATTGTTCAAAAGTTGGATAACACTACTTGATCCGTTGAATAAATGCGAAGGAAACCAATTGAGTTATCTACGGCGTAGGGAAAACTGATCCGCTTGGAGTAATAGCACTATCCACCTTTTAAACAAGTACAGTGGAGCACAGCTGCAAGTAATGCTGCACACAAAGTTACACGGTTAACTTTGAGTCTGTGATCATGAATGAATTCCTATTAAGATATGAACATTCGAATTGTGCCAAGAGCTATTGTGGCCCTTGATTGTGCTTACCATACTGTAGCCTCTCACTCAGGCGTTTTTAGGGGAGCTCGTATTTACGAACCATACTGGGGAGGACACAATTCCCTACCCCGCCCCCGCTTGAGTCAGGATAGTAACATGCACTTGAGGCTTTCTGTCGTGCCGCGGTCACCAAGTAAACAGCAAAACAAGATGGCGGGGTGACTGAAGAATCAAATGGTTTTTCCTAGGACGTAGCTTTTAATTCCTTGCTTTTGCTAAGGCAAAAAAAGTGCGAATACATGTCCTATAAAGCTTCGTTTCTCTGTATCTTCGAGAAGTAGGACAAAAGTGTGTTAAACTCGGGAGAGCGTAGTTAAGTTATGGGCAGCGGAGCGTCTGCCAACAGAAGAGGTTCTGTGGTGATAAGCCCGAGAGCGGAAGCCATCACTAAGCTGAAGGAGAATGGAGTGAGTACATGCACAGTTTATCAGTCTAATTAACATTTCAAAGTTTGCACTATATTAAAAAAATATTGCTTCTCGGCCGTCTGGCCAAACTGTCTAAAATCAAGTTTAGATTGCTTATCTGTTCCCGGTACAAGTTATATCATGTAAATACGAAGACTAGTTCTTTGTTTTACTAAATCAGTGGCCATTTTGTGAAATTTGAATTCAGAAACTAATTGATCGGTAACTTTTCAAATGTATTAAATGCATTTTTGATACCCTTATTTTGACAAGAGGATACGGCGCTTATTTGAAGCGGAAGCCTTTGTCACAGCGTATTATTAGAAGAACAGCACTGGAAGCAACTGTGCATTATTGTCCTTGTAGGGTAGTATTGTGAAGAAAATTTAAATTAAAAGAAGAGTATTCAAAGACAGTTGAACACGGTTTTCAAATAGACGCCTGCTCAATACGGACATCTCGTTATTATGGAGAGTTTTCCTTGTTGAGAATGTAAGCCCTCACATTTTCTCAAATTCAACTGCTTAGTACAGACACACCATTAATACGGACTTTTTTCTATGCGACCCCCCCCCCCCCCCCCCCCCCCCGCCCCTTTTTAACCGGGGTTGTTTTTGTTTTTTGTTGAGGTCTAATCCCTTTTTATTGTTTTGTTTTTTTTTTTGGGTCGACGTTTTTTTTATTTTACACGGTTTTGTTAGTTTGGGGGTGGTGTATGGGGGGTTTGCCAACCTCGGTGCAAAAGAGGAAAAGGTAAACAACAAAGAAAAAAACTGAAAATCCCCGATCCGTTCTCGAACCTTAAAAAAAAGGTTTTCTAAAGAGGTTTAACCAGGTTTTTCAAATGGACCCTTCCTCAAACCGAACTCCCCGTATTTATGGGAGTTTTTCTTTTTTAGAAAGGAACGCCCCCCATTTTCTTTAATTTAACCTCCTAAGACCACCCCCCCCTTAATACCGGCTTTTTTTTATGGGGCCCCCCCCCCCCCCTTCCCCCCAGTGTCCTTATTAACAGGGTTTGATTGTAATGTTATGTAGAGTTAACTGCCTTGTAATGTGACTGTATTATTTTTTGGCAGCAACTGATGTTAGATTCACCAGCTTTGATAGATTTGGGGCATGGTACAGTGCGCTATCGACACCCCGATGAAAAACGAGAAAAGGATAACACAAAAGTGAAAACTGGATACTTCTATCATCCTCGTCTGGATGACTTCAGTGAAGGTACCTGCCGTGAAAAATTTGCCGGCATATTTTGTTAATGGAGAATGTTAAATGGCTGCCAAATGCCTTATGACTTTGAAGTTTAGTGATAAGGGTCTGGAAACTGAGAGAATCAGGTTCCATTTAGGGTCATTATACTGGGAAACTTTCTTGAAACTTGATTCACTCAGTTTCTTTACCGTAATCGCTAAACTTCAGAGTCATTGGGTGTTTGGTGGTTGTTCAGCATTCTGCAAAATACCCCTGCTGGTAAAAAATTGCCCCTCTTTGTTCGTAGAATGAAGTATTATTGAAGTCACTTACACCTGTGTATTTCAAGCTTCCATTTCTTCAGTTGATTTGACTCAGTATTACTTAAGCACACCGTAAAAACTGTGAATGCAAAAAATGAAGTAAAATACTTGTTTGTAGTAAACAACAGTATCCTATTACATGCACTTACACTTACTGTAAGTTGTAATCACAAATAATTGATCTAAATCAAAACACACTATATTACAATCATGTCTAGAACCCTAACTAGCTAACGATAAACTAGTTGGCTATTACAAGCATGGCTAAGGAGTTGAACTTGGAACTGTGAGGCAAATTCCAGGTTTTAGTCAGATTAGCAGGACTTGAATGAACAACAGCAAAAATGTTGCTGCAAAGTATACAGTAGGGGTTATTAATTTTTGTTTGCAAAATTTGCTTGACTAATGCACAGCATGGTTAATTTTTTTGTTCTTATTACTCTTTTAGATGCTGAAGTGCGACCTGATGACAGTTTTAAATTCCACTATGTTTTCAAAGGACCCAAAAAGGATGGAAAAGTGAAGCGTCTGTATTATGTGTATGGAACACATCTATCAGCCAAAGATGAAGGAATAAAACAAGAGCCTTACAGACCTGTGGGAAAGGGCTACAACTGGCCTGAATCATACAGAAAGGCCAATAACTTGTACTATGAGCTGACATTCCCAGAACAAGGTAAAATCAGCTCTCCGATTTCCACTTAACCCTGGTTAGTAACATCTGCAAACTGCTAAGGTCCTTTTTCTGGGCCCCTAAAAGACTTAACTGATTAGCGGAAGTACATTTCAAATTTCTCTTCAACCTGGGGTCAATTTGATACAACTTTTACAAGAACTTAGTGTAATCTACAAGTGTAGCTATTGTTTTCAGTCTCCAAAACAATGGCTGCACTTGTAAATTTCACTTGTAATAGTTTTATTGAATTGACCCCTGATTAGCCAACTGAACAATGGCTTTTTTAACAGTCCAACCATGGCATGTACTAACATTAGCTGGACCCCTGAACAAGGGTTTTGGCCCTGGCTTACAGACGAAATTAACCAGAAGTTTAGTTTTGTTTGTGGCGTAGGCTAGATCACCACAGGCATTTTTAGTTGGCAAATCCATTTTGATAACAAAAATTCCATAATCTGGATGATACCACAAAATTAATGCTTAATTTCAAATATCATGCAGAGCCCCTGAAACTTTTAATGTTGAACAAGTGTTTAGGACAGTATTAATTTAGTATCGTATACACTGTACTGATAATTGTCAAATCTACTCCACCAAAAAAATATAATTTTAACCTCTTTTGCCCCATATTATTTCCTGATGTTTTATACATGCTATCAGAAACCATGTCCGCTAAGGGACGAACCATTAGAAAACTTATGGGGGGGTGGCGGGCGAAGTACAAAAAAATATTTGCGCAAGGGAAAATTAAATGAAAAAAAATTCATGCACGCCAATTAACCCTAAAAAATATTCATGCAATGGCCTAAATAAAATTCATGCAAAGAATTTGATAACGAAAAAAAAATACTTGCAGCTTGAAAGTTCCCCTCCCCCCCCCATATCTTTTCAAATGGTCGGTCCCTAAATGCAAATCAAAGGACCTTGGTGTTTTAATCCACTTCAGCAGAAGTTTTGTTATCCTCTTTAGGTGAAGGTGAAGAGGACTTTACAGATTCTGACAGTGTAATAACAGGGGCAGACTCACCTGAACTAGCTGATTCTGTTCCTGATAAGGATAATATGAGGTAAGGAACTCTGTTCATTAAGTATCATGAATCAAAGTTGTGAGTGGGTCGTCCTTCTTCCTCCCCTGTGCTTGTGGCTTGATGTGCTAGGATTAGGTACAGTACCGCTCAAAAGTAAGAAACCCCCCCGTCACGATGATATAATTCTTGTTGCACACGATTTGATTCCTGTAGCACAGTATGTAAATAAAATGGCAGAACACCCTAAAAATTATAACTATCAAGACTAGAATTCTTGTGCAATTTTAAGAATCGAGCTTTAGGAAGTGGTGATGATTAATTTGCCAACAAAATGACTTTCAAAACCACTGCGGCTTGTAGACTGTAAAAACTCTGGGTGAATATTTGGCTTTTCACACTACGTGGAATTAGTTGGTTTCATGCATGAGGGACTCAGAGATAATTTAGGCCAAAAATTGCCACTTCACTAAAGCACTGTGAAATACAAGAAACACACAAGAATATTGTGTAGCCGGGGACACTATTCTTGTCTTGCAGGAAAGGAGGTATACACGACTGGAAACTTAGAGTACTGTTTAGGGATGCCCCGCTTTACCTACCCCTGCTCCCATGGAGGCAAATTTGTTGATTACTGTCTAAATCTTAACTTGACCTTACTAAAGAGAGTTTACTAAAATCTTTACCTTGAATATATCCTCTTTTATGTACACATTGTTAAGAAAACTTTGAAGACAAATAAATCATTCATGGCATCACTAGACTGCAAAACAGTCCGTATTTTTGCGGGTGTGTGAGGCTCGCACTTCGCATGCGTAAGACTCTTTCGCCAGGCTTTACCAATTTCTTTACTGATTTTGAGAAAAAACCGACTGTTTTGCAGTCTAAGGCATCACTTTTACAATGGGTTACTGATATTTAGTGGTAGTTAACTTTTTCAAAGTACCATTCATTACACCACGTGAGTACTTGGACTTGCATGAATGAAATTTCTTTTTTCTTTTTAGGATTGTCCTGGAAGAGATGGAAACAGTTGATTCTCTCAAAATGAGGATGTCTTTACGTCTCTTGATACCATCTGTCAATTTTCACATTTTATACAACAAAAAGGAGCTGAGGTAAAGCCATGTGATAATTCTTTGTTTTTTCTATTTGTTTATTAAACAATATTTATCATTTAAGCAATGGAGAGGAGAAGTGTGATGTCACGTTACAATGGTAGCACTATTTCTGGATGATGACAAAACCAACGATGATGGTGACGGCAAGGAGATCGGCAAAAAATGATATGTTTATGTTGTAGTTAATTTTTTATCTTAGGTAATTTTTCTTTTTCTTTTGTTTTTGGGTATGGTAATGTATGCTAATGAAGCTGAAACAAACAAAAAAAAGGAAAAAATACCTGAGATAAAAAATTAACTACAACATTAATTTATATTAACAAACAACAACTTTGCACATGCATCACGCTATTTTGTACATTTTTTGCCGTCGTTGCACCACTATGACGTGAAACTAATTTCACGAGCCCACTTTATGGAGTAGGTGAACACAACAAAAAAATTGTTCCTTTCATTTTCTAAGCTTAGATAACGTTAGCTATGGTCCCAAAGAAAATTTCGCCAAGATTTGCCAAATTAAATGAAATTGAATAAGATCAGTGAAGTTTGAAATAGTGCGAATAGACTTTGAAGTGACTTTTTCGGTTTGTTGTCATACAAAAATTTTGCTACCCTGGCAACATGACGTAACGACTTCTCCTCTTTATACACCGCACTTGCTATGGGTTTACCGGCATGATAACCCATGCACGATGTTGGGAGAACACTCGAAAAGGTCGTAAATCACAAGCAGAGGGCGCCGTGGTAATTGCAATTTAGGCAATTGCAAATTTACCCAAAAAGAATTTCGGGACTTCAATGGGATTCAAACCCATAGCCTCTGCGTTAGTGCAGCAGTGCTCTACCAACTAAGCTATAAAGACCCATGCATTGGGAGCAGGCCAATTTGTTGAGTTCATCTTAACCCGTGAAAGGAATGAAGCATAGGGTATTTAAATTTTGTGAACTGTGGAAATACAAGTTATTTTAAATGAAGACTTGATTGTCATGCTGTGCTCTAAGAAAAGTTCACGGGAACCCAGTGCTTAGAAATCCAAGGTGCCCAGCATATGAGATTTATGAAAAAGCTAACCCAAGATTTCCTACTTGCTCAAGAGCAAATATAAGGTGTCAGGGGCTACTGGGCACTTTTAGAGCACAGCCTCACAAACAAAAAACATTAGGAATTTGACAAAAAACAAGCTTAAGTAGTAGGTGATTAAAAAAATATGGGACCCAAGGATAAAATTGAACCTCAAGTGTGATATGCTCTACAATACAAGGATTAAGTACATGTGCAAATCTCCAAAATATGTGAGAAGAAAATGCACAAAATTGGCAGCTTTACAGTGTTCATGGGCAAAGCTTTTTTCTGTCCATACAAAAATTAATACATCAGGCCCTACTTATTCAAAAGTTGGATAGTGCTATTCACCAGATAAATCACTACCCAATGGATTAGGGAAACCAATAATTGAGTTATCCAACTAACAGACATTTCTCCAGTGGATAGGGTCATTCACCTTTTGAACAACTGGGGTCAGTAGATGTTATCAAGAGTAGCACTTTTTTCAAAGGACTGATTGGCTAGTTGCCTTGTTCACAAATCTGACAAGTTTAGTGAGAAGTTTTAGCTAAATAGCATAGTGCACAAATGACATCAGAGTGACTAATTTGCAATTTTTGTCTGAGTTTTGTCATTTTTCACATTTTAATGACAAAAGACAGACAAACATGACATTTTCATGACAAAAGTTAGACAAACATGAGGAATTCGCTAGTGTTAATTTCAGTTTGTTTGTCTGAGTTTCGGGTCTATAAATAGTAACTGCACACAGCGCTATTTACTATCACCATAATTTCTATTAATTATATTATTTTTGTTGTGGTGCAGGCCAGAGGATATCGTTGGAGATCGGAGGACACCTGAACAAGGAAACTGGAGAAAATTTCCAGTTCTGCTTCACCTAACGTAATCATTTGACTCAACAGCTGTCAATTGAACGTCAGTTTGTCTTTCATGTCAAAAAAACAAACAAACAGACAAACAAACCCTGTATTACACAGACAATCACTGGACTCGCAGTAGTATCCAGATAGTAAAAGTTGTTTATTTTATAGAAAATAAGGTTTGCGACATACATAAACAACTTGAGAGGCCAAGAATAAATTATTTAAGTTGAACTAACAATCATCACAGCCTCAACTAGCAAACTATAATAATGTTACATATGTATTTTCTTATTCAATTTGTAAAAAACTATTTCAATATGCAAAGAATATGGTTAAGAACTAAACACTACAATTTCTAGTTTTAAAATTAATATCTAGGTAAGATAACATCTTTTTCTTTTTAGAAGCTGACAATCAAATTTGGTTGCATTTTGCATGCATGGAACTTATGTAGTATAAAAATAACCTAAGTCGAAAAATACTGTCACCAAATGTACCACTTTATTTGCACATTCTAATTATACTTTTTACCAAAAATAATAATAAAAAGTCTTTATGTGATAAAAGCTCTAGGCATTGTAAATAAACTTTCCTTTATTTAAATGTACTATGTTATTTTATCTCTCAGAAATAAATATCCTCTTTTTTCTGCACTGGTTTTAAATGTTGTTTATAACCATAGCAATAAAATAATTCAAGAGCATTTTTAACTGAGCTCTTAAACTACTGAATGAATTTCCTTGGGAAAGCCAAGTTTCTTTGAACAGAGAACCATGTGAAAAAATAAATATTATCTCTGCTAGCGTTCTTTGTTTGAGGATAACCGTGACCACAAGGAAAACTGAAAAATATCTAACCCAAGGGGCAAACATTACTCATTATAAAGAGGTTTTATTAATACTGGCAATTCTAACAACTCTTTCTGAGTTTGACTTTTGCTATGAAAATTACTGTCTTCAAGATAACAAACTTTCATTTCAATTATAAAAAATACTATTAGAAGCTGACAAAATCACAGCCACTTAAAGCAGGCAAAGGTTATTCCGAAGCATAATAATATTGTATTCTACAGTTTTTTTAAGCTCACATCCCAGATGCCATGAATTGCAAGTAGAACTTGATGTTGTCCCTCTTTCAGTATTTTTAATTAATAGGAGGCTCGTGTTAAAGACATCAGAAGAAAAATTAAATGCTTCCAAACTTTTTGGCTTTTCACTTTTAAAGTGAAACACAAAACTGGTTTCTTTTCTTGATATCTGGGAGGCCAGCTTTCTTGTTACTTATGAACTAGCCTGCAGTGCAGGCGTTTTCATCGGGCACACGAATGTTTTGCTCACGGAAGTGCCATGTTGAAACTCGAAAAGAGAGGAGAAAATGGGGCGAGTCACACCTACCGTAAGGGTTTTTTTTTTACTCTACCTAATCTTCCTCCATCATAACATCAAAGATGGTGGTTACAACAGTACGAACATAACCATGCAGCTTTTGCTCACCCAAAATACGCCTACACTGCAGGCTACTTATGAACAACCAGTCACTTTATGTAATAAGAAGATATGTTACAACTGGCTTAACTGGAGTATCTTGACTCTCCCAATAACCTCGCAGTAAATGGTTTGCCTGGACTCTGTACAGGTGGAGTGCGTATAGGTGGGGTACCTCTCTCAGATCCTCCAGTAAGTAACCGGGAAATCTCACTCACTGGAATCTTGACCGACCCTGACAAAGAGTTAATTGTTAAGGTTTTATTTCGTTCTTCAAGATCATCTGGAGGGCAGTGAGAGTAGTTCTCCTGACGACATTGGCCAAATATGTGGGTACAACAAGCTGTAAATGGCCTGTGCTGTCCATAAACTAGACAATTGAGGAATCCTTGCAGGGGGTTGATTGATGCCTGTGGAGTGAAAAACAAATCAGAACTAACACCATTCAGCCACATAGCCCTTAAAATAAAATTCCTTTCAGCCATTTAATGCATGGATTTTGATCAGAGCTTTAGAGTCTCTCCAGCAAAATAAACAGCCTTTCGAAGCTCCAAGATAGTAATGTTCACTCATTCAGTAAAAACTAATGCGAAAAAAAATGCACTGGAGCTGGGGAGAGAGGAGGCTTCCCAGAACATTTGCATCTTATTTTCATTTTGCTTGTTTTATCTCTGTGATGTCCCTACTATCTAAGACGCTTGATATGTAAAGAAAGATGGTAAATTTTTCAACATGTCACAAGCATGGGACAAAGAAAAAACCTCAGTTCCAAACAGGAATTGAACCTACGACCTTCCATTTCACCATTTTGCTTATTTGAAGAATAACACAATTTGCTCAAAAATGGAGTTTGAACAAGCCAACTAAAAGCACTGGAGGAAACAAGTCACAAATTCTGCTATAGCCATACAACTACCTAAACAGCTGTCCTTACCAATCAAAACCCCTAGATTAGTTAGTAAACACACCATTGCAACAAAACAAAAAGAACATGCTGGGCCCTCATAATGGGGATTTCAGTTCTCTCTTAAGAGTTCTCTCATAATTATATATTACTCAAAGTATTCCATGATAATGAAAGACTGCATCTCTTGGGTGGGTTTGAGCCTAGCCATCACAATGTTTCAGATCACTGGACAAGGGCCTTCAGTTCATCTCTCTTCATGCAGCTGGTGAATTGAAGAGATACCTCTGGTGATATGTAACTTTGAGGGAGGGGGTAAACTGTGATGGATCACCAGTGTAGTGGTAATGCTCCTTTAGGTGTTTAATGCAAACATAAGTTACCAGGATAATAATTGGCTGAGTGAGTCCAGTGGCTTGCCTTGTGCCTTTATACCTAATTATATCATGTTATATCCTGTCCGTCGGAGAATAATATTTTACTTACCTCGACTAACCAGAGGGGATAGTGCCTTTGTGGTTTCTGATCTAGGTTACCATTGTATTTAAAATAGTCATAAACATCGTGAAATCCATCAAGAAAGTTTGGCATCCAGCTGAAATACATAATAATAATAATAACAGAATATTATTTGGACCTTCATACAAGTGAATAATTTAACCCCCAATTTTCCTGGGTAGTGCCTTAGAAACGGTGCTAAAAATACTATTTCAACAGCTTCTCATCTACACAATTTAAAGGGCATTTTATTAATGTTTTTCAGTGTCATACCATTGAAGACTAAAATCAAAACCACTGCCTCTCTGATTCCAATCAGAATCTGAGATATGGAAATCTGGCCAAGTCTCAGGTCTATGCATAGCGATTACATGTAGGTGGGCAACAGTACATGTGAGAATATTATAAAAGCAAATAACACATAATATAACAGTCATGATTTTAATCAAAAATCATGACTGTAATGAGAGATGGGCATCATTCTTTCAATTTCGAGGTTTGCATGATCAACAGCTAGATTCTCCTTCTGAATTTGCCTTGAATAAATTGTAAAACAAAACAAGAATTAATGATTACATCGAAAGTCCCTAAAAGGCCCTTATCACATCCACCGGCTCCATTATAAAAGTTAGTGGAATTTCTCTGTGAACAATTTTATTTAGAATTTTCACAATTTGAGATAGTGTGCACACTTACCACAAAGCAAAGACAAAGACTATTAAAAAAAATCTCCTCCTAACAGACTTTTGGGCCTTTCTCTGAGTATCTGTAAAATAGCCCGATCTTTTCATATTCTGGGACACTGGAAAACAAACAAACACATTAACATATAAGCTACGGTATGTTCTCGCTTAACCCTTTAAGCCCTAAGAGTGATGGGCATCAAATTTCTCCTCGTAATAATACATCTTAATAAAACAGAGTGGTCATAAGAATTAAGGACATGATCAAACAAGATGAACCTAATTGATACTTCAACAAATTCTCCCCACTACTTCTGTTGAAGACGTATAGGGATAACAAATGAGAATTTGAATTTTGATGTTAGGGTTTAAAGCGTTAATACCAGAGTGGGGCATATATAGCGCCCAAGTTTAATATAGACTCTTGTTGGCAGCTAATGATAAATTACACGCACCCTAAACAAAAGGGCAATTTTTTGGGAAGCTACTCTGCTTTTAAAGAGCTTTTTTTAAGGAACCCCTTGAAATTCAAAATTATACAAAATGATTAAAACGTTCAGCTATTTTGATTTGTGATAGATTAATAAAAATCCTTATCATCACTGTTTTTACTGAGTTGGTAAAAATTAGTCAGACTCAGGGCTGAAGTGAACTATGACTGCTGCTTATATATGCCCTGGGCTTATACATCTTCATAATTAAGGGTTTTAGGAAAGCTTATAAACACACAGGCTTATATCGAAGGTCGCTCATAATGAAAGAATAGACTAAAAAAGTGCTTCAAAACCTGCTATAGCATCAAGGAATGCTGATCAAAATACATTTGCATAAATTACTGTGTTTTTAATTATTATGCTTCAAAATGTCATAATAAAGAATAATTGAATTCATTTTAATACATTTGAAATGTGCTTATAATTGGATGTATTTTTTTAGTCTATATGTAGATAGGCCTATAACTGGGGATCTTATAAGTGGCAGTTTCTGGTTAAACAACTAGGAAGCCCGGGGGGCCTCCCATATGAAAGGGGCAGGGATGCTCATCGTCTCTCATTTCAGATTTTGGTCTCACTTAGGGAGTTCTGAGCAAAACACCATTGTAATATAGCTGTAAAGGTCTTTTTTAGGGTCACGCAAAGAAATATAAAAACATAATTATGTTTTCAATTCATTTTTTGTTTTCTACAAGTTTAAAATGGTCTCTTTTAGGGGGCAAAATAGCCCAGATTGGTCTCCTTTAGGGGTTTAATTCAAAATTTCTTACAAGCCCGTTTCATATGGGAGTCCCTCCTCCCTGGGCTAGGAAGTTCTATTTTCCTTTTGTTCCCTTTGAAATAAGTAGCCAGGAATCATGCTCTGATACCAGCGGCGGATTTCAGGAAGGGGCCCAGGGCCTGGACTTCCTCTTATTTTTAGACTTAACTGAGGCCCAAAGGTCTCAAGGTCTGGATCTGGCACCAGATGCACTGTAGTAGTCAGGAGAAATCCCAGGGCCCTGAATGACAGCTCTGATAAGACTGATTTAAATTATTATTTTTTCTATTTTCTAAATAACTACCTTTTCGATAAGCTTTCCAGTAAATGAAAGGAAGGGACACCATTACTAGGAACAGAGGAACAAAGCAAACTGCATAATGTAGAAGTGCTATGTTACCATGGGAGCAACTGAAAACCAAAAAGAATTCGCCATTTATTAAAATTAAAACCTCCAAAAGCGGAAGGAAAATTGAGGGTGGATGGGAGATGTTTGTGAGCCATCAAGTGATCAACTTAATTTAATACTGTCCTTCACTTTCACAACAATTTCTGAACATTCAGTGCTGTTAAATATACCTGTTTATATATGCCTTCACTATTTTAAACAGAACTATTCTCAACGTCTCAAAGTAAAGTCGTCTCAACACAAGTTGTTTTGATATGAATTCAAGCAGTGAAATTGTACAGTCAAAGATTTTGCAGTTGTTCACTTCAGGTATAGTTTGGGTGAATCTTCTTCATTCTTTAAGCCAATGTGAAAAATTTTACACTTTGACTGAATAAACTTGTATCAAAACGACCTTAACTCAAAACAACCAGTAACCAGATAACCCAGGTCAAGCATGAGAAACTTGAGCTTAAGCTTTTAAAACATTTTTTCAGCTAAAGTTAAGTCGTGAAGAACAATCGGCGCTGTGATACAGATTAGACCAACATCAAAATAATACCATAATTTATTCTCACTTTATTGGATCTGTCAGATATACTGCAACCTCAACACATATTACAAGCCAAGCTGCCAATGGCCATGACATCAAATGATATGCTGCACTGTTGAATCTGCAAACCAATGTGACAACATACAAAACATTTAGAAACTACTCATCCTCACTTCAAGATTCACCTGTGGAAGCTCTAGCATTTGATTCATTAGGGCTGAAAATCTGTCACAATGTATAATCACTACAATTCTATAGACCATGTGAAATTGACAAAGAAAGTGACTTGCTGTTTAGATCACGCTTTCCTTGGATATATGGAATCTTTCAGCTAACAATGAAGAAAATATGGCTGCTAACTAAAAGCTCTTTACCTTGTAGCACTATTATGAACTTGAAGGCAGATATCAATGGAGTAAAACAGTGTCCACAAGTAGGAACAAATGTATGAAAACATTGTGAATGACTGAAATTGAATTGAAAGAAAGTAAATAAATTATCAATAACAACTGACAGAAAGAAAAATAACTTGAAAACATCTTTTTAGGATGATTGAATTTTGGTTTGGATTGGCAGAATGTCTAGACATTTGTATATATACTGCATTTCCGCAAAAAACGCCCATGCTCTAATAAGCACACACCCCCCCCCCCCCCCCCAAAAAAATCCCACACCTTGAACCCCACAAACCAAAAAAACACCCCCCCCCCCCCCCCCCCACTTTAAAAAATAACAGGGGTAACTGACCAACAACCGTTTTATCCACTGTTTGTACCACTTTTGGTCTTTGCTACCGTCGCATACCCCCCCCCCCCCCCCCCCCCACCAAAAAAGTGCCCAACCTTGAGACCAAAATATCAAATAAGCACCCCCCTCCCGTCCCCCTTACTTTAATAAATGATAGGGATACATGGAAAACAAGCTTTTTTTGCCACTTTAGTTAACCTTTTAGGCTTTGACTACAGCGAAATCTGTAAAGGAAAATAGTTTCTTTTCCGTTAAGTCACTTCCAGTCAATTCTTTATCCATGTTCTTCCAGAGTTCCAGTATGTGTGCATCACCTCTTCTTTCAATTTTTGTCCTATTGCCACCACACTCTTGGTTAAGGCCATAAACTTCCCAGGAAAAACTAGTCTAAGACCATTCTTTAGTTCTTTTTAAAGAAAACATAATTAAGTGCCCTCCTTTGCATAAGAGCCCATTCTTTTAGATGAAATACTTATTTCATTATTTGAAGTAAGCGCCTGGGCACTTATCACAGAAATATGGTACCCTAAGTATTTTGTCTAGCTTAATGGTTAAGAAAGAGGAGATTTGAAAGGCAGAAGAGGGGAGGGGCAGGAATTCTTATCTTCACTCTCTCAGATCTACCATAAAGAGGCCTAATAGTCAGTCACACATATACAATAATTATTGTTATATCAATTAATAATTTTTTTATCAAAAAATATATATGCACTTAAAGACAATCCATCACCTGGTCCCAACCATAAAATTAATAAAACACTCTTAGGAACATAAAAATCATTGTCACAAGACGGTACTGTACCTCAATTGGTAATGCAAAATCAACATAGGACTCACTGAATGGTTTTAGTGGTGTTTCAGAAGGAAGCATTAATGTGAGCAGTAATATTGACATGGAAATAGCACCTGGAAAGAAAAAAAATTAAATGTTTCAAACACCTTTTTTATTCCAAAATGGTGTCAAATTTTGTCATTCTTATTGGCCCTCGATGCCACATTTCAAGTAAACTTGATATCTTTTGAACTCTGCAGGTATATAATCATTAACATAACTATAATACTGAAAGAAGATATTTGAAGTATTTTTTTATATTTTAAGGTTTAAATACAATCAGAAACTGCAATTTGTCCTTGGGTGGTGTTGTGTACATAACTAGGGACTGTAAATCAGACAGTTGTGAGTTCAAACCTCAATGGTGCAGTCTGAATTTTTCTTCCTGGAGTGTTTGTTATGGAATGATGAATGGGGAGGCACAGAAAGGCGAATAGAGAGGAAAAATAAATAAATAAATAAATAAATAATAATAATGATAATGATAATTCTTGGTCATGGATTGTGAGATTTCAGGGACTGCGGAGGGGGAGGGGCTGGTAGGGCCGCGGCCCCACCACTTTTTTGCGCCCCCGCCCCCACTTTTTGCGCTAAAGGAAAAATAATTAAATTAAAAAAAAAGACTTGAAACAAGTTTTTGCCGTCTATATTCCGCTATATTCTCTGTATTTTCTTTTATTTCCAACGCCAGGCATTTTGTGGGACTCCTGTGCTTTTCGCAGTAATTGTGCCCTTGGGCCGACTTGCTCCTTGATTAAACGCTATGCCTTGGCCACCCCTTCGCTTCGTTCGGCAGCGTGTTTTGTACTTCCAGCTCCGGCAGAGTTTTAGACGAAATGAAGAAAATTACTAGCTTTTTCAAGCCAGACGAAGGTGAGTAGTTGTTTTGAGTTGATAAAAGTTTTATATTTTTTCTTTCTCCTTTCGAATCAATGAAATATTCGATGGCAAGAAGAATTACATTACTTGAACAGTGAACGGCCATAGTTAGAAATTTTTCAGATCACGTCAGTGTAGTATTTTCTATACTAAAATTGTAATCCCGTCTTTTCTTGCATTGAATCTGAACTGACCGTGTATGTTGGTCGTTTATTAGAGTTATCTGGGACTTCATCAAAGTCTGTAAGCTCTGCAGAAAAGACGACAACTACTTGCAATGAAAATGATGAGTTTGAGTTTGACCAGTAAACATACAAATACTATGATTTTATTCCTTTTATTCCTTTTTTCGATTTTCAATATGAAAAAAATATTTTCAATTGTCAGCCCTCCCACTTTTCACCTTGCTCCGCGGTCCCTGGATTTCTTTGTTCTTTGATCCAAATCAGCTGATTTACACGCGATGTCGGTATTACGTAAAACAAGATGTCGGTATTTAGTAAAAACATTTGTCATCTGTTAATGAAAAGTTGACATCGTCACACCATAGTTACAATGAATCTGTTTGGTTTTTCAACAAACAGATGCTTGGTTTCCGCCGGCAATATGCTACTTAAATTCTGACCTTCGGGCGATTTTGGTCAGCAAGGCAATCTTGTAAGAAAAATAACTCTTTACACTAATGATCGTATGACGGTCGGTAATTAATACTCAAGGATCTCACCTACACATGTGAACAAATCTGCCAATGCAAGCGAAAACACGATATGCGGAGTAGGAGAAGGGACTCTTCTCGACTCCCGATCTGAAAGGCGCATTCTTTTCGACCAGTTGACAAGCTGAACAATAGCTCCAAAAGAAGATATCGTTGCTGTAGAGATGCATATACTGCTGAAAGTTATTCGTCTCGATATATCAATCTCTTCTTTCTTTATACAGTAAATGGAGCTTCCTCGAAGGAACGCCATGTTGATTTTTGAGACACTTGCCGGGAGGGCCCTAGGCCGTTAGAATGTCCCCACCGCGACCCAGAGCGTGCGAAACCCGGAAGACCAGGCCTGGAGGAAGACTGCGTAGTTGTTGGAAGGCCGATTAGCGCTTAACCTAGGGTTTATATTAACCAGGGTTTCATTTTCTTTTGTTCAAAAGCATTTCCTCGGATAATTTTCTCTGTTGTTTTGAGCCACTGAACTCATGGGCTACTGCCTCCCCAAGGCCCTAGCCCCTAGTGTTGTTGGGAGAGGGAGGGGGGGAGGGCGGGGGGACTCCAATAAAAATTTAGAGAGCCTCTTAGGGGCCTTTTAACAGTGTACCTCTCTGAGAGGCCGAGTCTGTAGGGCCAGAGGGATGCTGTGGGGTTGTGCCGTCGAAAATTGCATTCTTTTAGGATGGATTCCTACCATCGCGTGCCTACAAACGTGAATTTTGCGCGCGCAGATAAAGTAGAGGCAACGTATGAATCGTGTACGTAAAGGGTTATGTTACACGAGACGCAGGAGCGGATCCAGGATTTTTTTTAGGAGGGGGTGCACTCGTCTCTTGCTCTACTTCAACACCAATAAACCACAGATTTTATTTTTTTGCAGAATACCAGTTGTATTAGAAAACTACAGGTCATCTCAGGGGGCGGGGTGCGCACCCCCTGCACCCTCCCCCTAGATCCGCCTCTGAGACGATTCGCAACATCGTTGCGACATTATTTCGGATGGTTACAACATTGTTCCAACTTTGCAGCGCTGTGTTGCACTAAAAATCGTCGTTGCGAATCGTCTCGTGTAACATCACCTTAAAAGTTGAGCTGGGTTCAGCGGGCGCACGATGCTGCACCTTTCCCCATCGAAACGCCGGTTAGAGTTCAGACTTGCCTGCCTGCTTTGATCACCGAGGGCGTCACAACTCACGAATGCTCACGCTTAAAATAGTTTAAAATTTAAAACTGGTTTATCCAGATTTACCTCACAAAGAGGGACCGAGTGTCCTTCCAACTTTTCCAGTCCTTCCCCGATCGTGGGAGTCGCATTTTTTGCAGATGGGTACTTTTTCAAATATCATGCTATTTGTGGAGGTTGTAACGTGACAATCGTTTCAACAAATGTGACGACTATTGCAGGTTTATTCTTCTTCTTCTTGAAAACGAGAATGCTGTCCTGATTACAACAAATAAAAGACGAAAACAGCTGCCAAACACTAGAAACGTGTAGTAAATTCGTTTATATATTTTTTTTGCTTTTCATGACCTTTACTAAGATTGATCAGTTGATAGATGCTATTACAGAGGCTTTTATTCAATGAATCTCCCTGAGTCTTAGACCTATTCATCCACTGATGTACCTAGATTAAGACAGAGTGATTCTAAGTCACGAGTCCATGGAGAGAGTATATTGGAGTACTACGGCTGGGAACATTCCAGTGAAAGCTCTTCGGCACAATTACTACTCAGTCTTTCCAAGTGTAAAATAGCCTGAGATAAAGGCCGACATTAAGTCGCAACTCCGCCACTGTACGTAGTTTCTTCGCGAAATGATGCCTGATCGAGTTACGAGTGCAGAATTTCCACATTCATGTGGTGTCACTACCCAGATCTGAGTAGTGCTTCTGATTGGTTGAACCAAATTTCCTTAGCAACACCAATCAGAAGCACTGCCAAGACTTGGGTAGCCTCCCCCGCAGGCGTTTTTAGGGAAACTGGTATTTCTTCCCTTCCTTGTAGGGAATGAAGAAATAGGAGCTCCCCTGCAAACGCCTGCGGGGGAGGCTAAGACTTGGGTAGTGACACGTCATCAGTATGGAATTTCTGCCCTCTTAGTGGTCGCGTATCGAAATGTCGGCTGAATCCAGTTCTCAGGCGTTGTGTAAAATAATGTCTGCCATAGTGAGTTAATTTCCCAGTAAGGTCGTCCTCACAATGGCTTCAGTAACACGGTATGGATCGCAGTTGGACGATGGTCGTCTATCCTCTAGGTACCCCTTGCCATCTTCAGCACATTGCCTAGGAATCCGCACACTCACCCCTCGGTTGGCTACCCCATGAGAAAAGTTATCAATCGACGAGGTCTCGTGGTGGCCAGTTAGGCGTCGTTTGTTGTCTTCCCCCTCGTTAGGATCATACATTCTGATGTGGTAGTCGTGTTTGCTGGACAGCTTTTCAATAGCATCGTATATGTGCTTCATTCCTCCTTCTTCTCTCATTGCCTGTGTGCTGCAAATGATGTCATTAAAGCAGTTTACTTTTAGTTTCTGATTTGCCCCTTTTTTGCTGTTTCGTACCCCAGGGTTTCTTTCTTGTTGCTCAAAGGAAACTGGAGAAGCGCGAAAGAGATCCCCACTCACGCAGTCCCCCGCCCCGCCTGTCGACCCCGAACCATATGAAACGCCTGGATACGGGACAGGCCCCTCTAAGTAATGGTTAAAAATATGAACTAATCACCGCGAAGGGATTTATTAAAAGACTGTTTCGAAGGCAAGCTCTTCGTTGCCTTGAATTCATTTTCTTTCTACATAAAGTGCCCAACAAACCACAATTTTTACGGACATTAAACCAAGCCGCAAATTTCAAGAACAGAAAACTAAAAATGTCATCTATAACTGTAAACTGAAAACCCCAATACCCTGCTCGTATGACCGTAGTGTAACCTCACGAAGCAAGGGCTTTTTAAGTATACATACGTGACCTCACTTCTTATTTACCTGTAGTTTGTGTGTGCGCCAGCTCCATTCCAGTCCCCTGGGATAGGTTTGGGATCAAAAGTAACCTTGATTCCAAAGTCTTCAGCAACACGATGTAATATAAACCTTGATATCCACAAGTGGTCTCCCATATCAATACCTTCACAAGGACCAACTTGGTACTCCCACTGAAACAAAAAAGACAGGCCGTGATGAACATGCACATTCTCCCAACAGGTCCTCGAGAAACACGCTAGTTGGATTGTATCTCTGATATTTCTCATCACATAACCTGAGAAAACAGCTGACACTTGGCGACGCCATCACTGATTTCCTCGTAAATAACGTCTGAGGATTAGATACTGATGACGTGTCACTACCCAGATCTTGATCGCGCGTCGTGGAAAATTTGCTTCAACCCATCAGAAGCACTATCCAGATCTGGGCAGTGACACGTCATCAGTATGGAATTTCTGCGCTCGTTCCACAGACGTCTTTTGGTGAGGAAACCAGTAGTGGCCGGCGTCTCGAAAATGTCGCCTGTTCTCGATTGGAAATTATTACAGTGAATGTTACTCAGTTCTCACCTGAGCCGGCATAACTTCAGCATTTGTTCCTGCGATTTTGACACCTGCATACAGGCAAGCACGATAGTGAGCTTCAACCACGTCACGACCAAACACATTTCCAGTGCCAACAGCACAGTAGTAGGGTCCCTGTCGCCCAGGGAACCCACCCTTTGGCCAGCCAAGGGGATGACCATCTTTGTCAAGCAGAGTGTATTCTTGTTCAATACCAAACCAAGGATGGGTGTTCTGAGACAACAAATGGAAAAGTTCAAAACAGTGATAAAAACTTTAACTCATTGGACACAAAAAATTGGCAAAACGCAACTTCTGAATGCGAATTACTGGAAATTCACAAATTTGCAGGTCTTTTTTACGCCTCTGACTTTCTATGACAACAGACTTACTATCCTCTGCCTTCGTTGACTAGACTGCGAGCGGTCTCTTATTTTTCGTTGCGAAGTTACTGCACCCCCCAGTCGCGCTGGCTGAGATAAGAACAAGACAGATTTTAAGAGAAAAGGCGGGAAGGCAATCAATCTATTCGTTGTGATGAAAGTACGTGCACGAGTGAGCTTTTTCTTGCATTCATTATTTTAGGGTTGGGAAAAAGGGATTAAAAGTCATTGCTACGTCATGGCGAGTTGGGAAGGCGGGTCCTGGTGACTAGTTATTGAACAGTTGAATTTTGTACTGTTAAAAGCCCTGGTGAAATATGATGTGACTCCACAGGTGACCCAAGCTCGGAATGTGACCATTGGCTTGCGTAACGTTCAAAATATAAGGATTTGTAGGGGAGAAAAACTATTGTTTCTGTAGCCTACGAATGTAAAAGGAATTAAATAAAAATCAGTTAACCTATGTGTTTCTTCTTTCCTGTGTGGTTTCGGAGCCGATTTATGGCCATTTAATGGGTGTTATTGGGGCCGGTTTGCTCAAGAAAGTAGCCTGCGAACGGCAGACTTTTCTCCTCGCTCATCGCCGCTGAGGAACGCGAAACGTCCCACAGCGGCGATGAGCGAGGAGAAACGTCTGTCGTTCGTAGGCTATCTAGAGAGGGAACCGTTTACAGTTCAACCCATAAAACGGCCACAAATCGGCGCATGGACCACACAGGAGAGACGTAACACACATTTCATGTAAGGTAAGCTGTTTTTTATTGAAATCCTTTCATTTTCGTAGATCACAGAAACGATAGGTTTTTTTTCCCCATACAAATCCTTATATTACGAATGTTACGCAACAATGCCTTTGCTCGCCGATGCTCATATTTCGAGCTTGGGCTACCTGTGGTGTCTCTACGACTTTTGGTACGAAATAATGTCCTACTGAGATCAAAAGTACTATTAACATTTGAACTAAGTGTTATCATACCTCTTTAGGTTTCTTTTTTTTTTTCAGAACACTAGTTTCATGCAAAAGTTCACATATTCTAGCTTGGTTTATCAAAACAAATCAAAAGTAGGCAGATTTCGAGCTTGTTCAGTAACTTGGGTTTAAACATGAAAATGTAGGCTTGCAACGAACAAAAGCCACTCAAAAACATCAAAGACAGAGGTCATGAAACCGATGTCAAAATCGTTGTTACTTTATGTTCATTTGGCCATTTTTTTTCCAAAGCCGCTTTACGGATTTGTGAACAACAAAGCCTTGCTCTCTTGCCAACAGTTGTCGAAGCATGCATGTACAGTGTCACTGAAAAAACAACAACAACAACATCTACCTGATATCGGATGTTTGGTGGATCCACGCCACGTGAAAAGTCGCACGTGAAGTTTTTAATTCAAAATTTCGCACATTTCTGGTTAGTCGAGGTAAGAAACTAATTTTATTGAAACTAAAAATTAAAGGTTAATGCTTTTTACCTCCACCAGTTCAGTTTCCATGACATCAAGACAGCTTTTCCTGGTGTTTGTTTTGGTTGATTTGTGGTTAAATTGATACGTCTCGCACAAAACCAACTTGTTTTTTCCTTGCCTGAATGGATCTCGGAATAAGGCGACTGGATGAAGATAAATATCGCTGTTACAGCCCTCAGCCTGATAGGTACTAGAGCCGTCGAAGTTCCAAATTGGAAGGTCTTCTGGTGTCATGGGTTCCATGTTGAGAGTTTTCGTCTTGCAGCGAAGATTTTCCCCAGTTCCGTCCACCCACACGTACATGGCTTGAACACTTTCTCCTTGGTCGAGTGTCATATATTTTTTGGAAAGGGCTTTGCTGTGATCCATGATGTCTGATCTAGCTAAGACGACAAACTTCTCCGACCTTCCGACGTCTTGACTGCTCCACTTGCCGTGAATGAGTTAAAGTGACTTTAACTGTATTTGCAGAGTTTATATGACTGGGGCGAAGTGTTTTAGAGCCAATCAAATGCGTGCAATCCATCAGCTGTTTTTCAGGTGAAAGTTTTTTTGTTGTTTTCTTATGACGTCATTGCATTGATGACACGTGTACAGATGTACACTTGTATTTCGCTGCAAGATACTGCTCGTGACTTCGAAAGGAAATATAGCAGTGAATACCGTATACAACCCACAAACTAACTGAACATAGCTCAAGCTACTTTTCATCGAGGCAATAGCCCTGCAATAGTATGGCGTGCGTGATAAGCAATGTTATCTTAAATTGAGTAACTGGGGTGACTTTCAAGTGCTCTCGGGCAAAACTCGCATGCAATTTTACATGGGTCGGGGGAGGGGTACTTCCTAGTAATAGGGTAACAGGGTTCTATCAAGGATTTATCATTTGGCGGAGAAGTCCCGAGTGGCCAAGGGCGACGAGCTTCCTAGGGGGGTCCGGGGGTAGGCTCCCCCGGAAATTTTTTGAAAATGAATATGCGCTGAGACGCAATCTGGTGCCTTTTGAGACACAATTTTGAGAAATGTTATAGTGTGTGCACTGACCTCGTCGCGACTGGATGATTTTTCCGATTCAGATACTTATATACTGTAATGATAACAATATTTTTGGGGGGAAGCTGGGTATTTTTTGAGGAGGGACCTTCTACCCCTCAAATACCCTAGATAGAACCCTGGCAGTATATGGAGATGTGCCGCTGGATGGGGTTGCATTTTCATCAGAGTTACTAGAACGGAGTCGCACATTTTCGGGGTTTGGGGGATCAGAAATTCAGGTAGGTAGGGATCATGAAAAGTGGGAAGATTTTCACTTCGTTAAATTTAACCAATGTGTCATTTCATGCATTTCAGGATGACCTAGTTTAATTGCTTTATAAGGTAGATGAATAAACAGAGACTGTTACTAAGTTGGGATCGCGAAAATTACATTATTTTCCCAAAGGTGACTAAGATGGGGTCCACTATTTGGCCTCAGAATAGAAGCAGCACATACCCAGCACAAATTAACCCAAGTAACCCTTCCGGGTTTTACATGAACTTACTTGTTTTTGGCTTTCACGTGATTTCAGTTATCTTTGAGTTGTGCGAAAGGACGCAAAAATCATTTTTGATTTGCCATTCCAAGTGCTAAAACTTGTTTTGCTAGGCGACAAAGAAGACAGCACAACCATGGTTTACAAATTTCATTGTCACGTGATATGTTATTTATAGAACACAACCAGCAAAGCTATTTTTGACTAAACAAAAACTTCACAGACTATCTGCAGGACATGTTTATTATTTTTGTTCCTCGTGACTGTCATCTCACCTTATTTTTAATTTCTTTCTGCTATGCACAACATAAACACTATGAAGAGGATGACCTCTGCCACGTGACCTGTGCTGTGTTTTTCCAATTGTATTCACCTGAGATCAGGCTCAATTTTCGTTTCGCTTTGTAAATAACATTCCGGCGGGCAAGGCGAAACGAAATTCTAGTGGTAGCCGTTATAGAGAATGTATGAGAACCGCTAACATTGGGCCTGATCTCAGTTTAAAATTCATGACCTCAAGCAGGAGCCCATGGGCTCCTGCCTCAAGCCAGGAATACTCCTCACCACATAATTTGAAAAAGTCAAATTTTAAGAGAAGAAAATGGAGGTATTCGAGACGAAAAGCCGATTGCGCTACAAGGCTATGAACGGCGCTTATTACCCCAGGGAAAATTAGCCGGCTTGTAGTCGGGTAGCCTGCGAAAACATCCGTTTCTCCTCGCTCTTCGCCGCTGGGGACGTTTCGCGGAAAGGAACGTCCCCAGCGGCGAAGAGCGAGGAGGAACGGATATTTTCGCAGGCTGAGTCGGGTATGGTGCCCCGACAGCCAGCGTGCGTCCATGAACGCGCGTGCATTAGCCTGTGAACAGGCTCTCTGTTTGGGGAAAGGGTGAAAAAAATCGCGAGGAGAGAGAAGGGAAAGGGTGACCCTTTTCCTTTTTTTTCTTCCAGCGTGCATGAACTCTTTAGCCGAGAGGGGTTGAGACCGACAACTCAGTTGGTCACATCGCTATGCAGCCAGGCAAAATGAAAATGAAGATGGCGGACAAGTTTGGAGATGTCCACTGAATGCATTGCTTATTCCCGTTCTCCGTCATTGCAGATATTACGTTAAACTAAACTTCTAAAATGGCCGAATTTCAAGCGGTAATCATGGCGGCTGGCACAGGCTCGCGAATGTTTCCTTTGACTGAGAAAATTCCCAAAGCTCTCTTGCCTGTGGGAAATTTACCAGTCATATGGTACCCCATCAATTTGCTCGATAAAGCAGGCTTTGAGGGTAAGGAACATAAATTTATTGTTAAAGCTTTGCTATGTACAGTGAATTCCTAGTGACAAAATGCTTAAAAATATGATGGAGTGCCGTACCCAGAGATCCCCAGAGTACATAAATGTTGTGGTTCAATCTTTTTTTTTTTTTTTTGGGAGGGTGGGGGGATAAATTTATTAATTGTACTTTGATTCCTTATCAGACAGACAGCCTTTATTTTAGCACGATGATATTAAAAGCATTGCAGCTTATGGGGTTATGAAATAAGACGGACAGACAGCCTCATTATGATACATCACCCTAACCTAAAACAAAGGGAAAATTATTAGTTGGGTGCAGGCAAAAAATTGACAATTCCGTCACTTCCACCCCATCATTTTTTTCCTTGTGTCTTTTTGCGCTTGCTGTGTACAAATTATTTCTATCCCCACCATCTGAACACCTGGAACAGGCTACATGACCCTCTCGCCATGCATTCCTCATATTCTCTTATGTGTACAATTTCCAACATGCATAGATTGTCATTGGTACCCAGTAAGGGTAAGGTCTATACTGGGATGCAACCACTGGTAGATGAGTCACTGGCGACACTGAAAAGTACTGTCAATTTTTGCATCAGTGACTGTGTCTAGTGAAACAAAAAATGAAATTTGCTGATTGTAGATTGCACTTAGCCTGAGAAAACAGCCAACATTTTGCAACGCCATCACTGGTTTCCTTGCAAAATGACATCTGAGGAATGAGCAAAGAAATTCCATACTGATGATGCGTCACTACTCAGATTTGGGTGGTGCTTCTGATTGGTCGCACTGCCAGGGAATGTACTTCCACATTTTGGGTTTTAAGGTTTGGCTGCTCAACAACAATAACATGTCCATTTGTTAATTTTTTTGCCAGAGATCATTATTATAGTGCTTGATTCAGCACTCACACAATTCCATCAAATTTTAACAAGCCTCTGCAATCCAAAACTGAAGTTGGACTTTGTTACCATTCCCGATGATGAAGACTTCCAGGGTACTGCTGATGCTCTTAGGTACATTAAAGACAAAATAGAGGTATGTGCCTTGATTTCTGTGTGGCAAGTGTATAGAAATAGTGTCTTACAGGGTGGACTTTGACAAGTAATCCCTCAGTTCACTGGCCAGTGTAGTAAGCAATTTTCTTGAAGTGGCTAGAGGATAACATTTTGTAGCAAAGCTGCGAAAACATGTAGCATCTTAATCACTGCTTCAATGAATTTAACAGTTGCATAAAAATAAATTCATAATAAATAAATTCATTATTAATAATGGAAACTTGGGGGGTACCCTTGACCTGGCTTGATTGCAATAGACACCATTTCAAGGCAGACTCCTTTGTAATATTAGTATACTACATAATCATATGACTCATGCAAATATTTTTTTTTTATTGTCAAAATTTTTGCAGAAAGATGTTTTTGTTGTGAGTTGTGATCTTATCACAGATGTTGCTCTTCATCATCTTGCTGATATTCATCGCAGCCATGACTCCACCCTTACTGCTTTTCTGGCTCCTGTGCCACAGACAAGTGCAGACAGAGAAGCTGCTAATAATCCCAAAGCAAAAAAGAAAACTGACACTTCAGGTATATACTTGCTGTTAAATACGTGTTTTGCTGCAGAGGTGAAATACAAATTTTATAGTTATGTAGAATTATATTAACCCTCTATTAGAAGCGCTAGGAGTGATGACAGCATCAAATTTGTCCTTGTAAAATGAAATACCTCATAAAACAGCGCGCTCACTGATCAACTAAGAATTGATTGTTAATATATAAAATCATTTGTTTTTTCTTTATTTGAACAGGCCAGCTTGATTACATCGGAATTGACTCAAGAGAGAACAAGCTGTTGTTTTTCAAACCTGAAGCTGATCTAGATGAAGCATTAGTAATAAGAAAACCTCTTCTAAAAAGGTACAGTTTCTGTTACGGTATCTTAACCTCTATCGCTTACACAGATATTCTTGGTTTCTTCTTGCTATGCAGAGCTGTAGTCAACTGTCAGTCATTGGACAACACCCAACTAAACTGGCCCACGTGAAAAATGCCTTAGAAATTAAACCGACTATGATTGAAAACAGTTTTGAATCTTGAGGAAAATGAGCTTAATTCTAAACTAAAACACCAAAAATCTCAAACTTCAGTTTTATGCAGAGAATTGGAGATTCATACAGGAGATTTGGAAATTTGTGCCATACAAATCACATACATATATCGGGGAGACCCCTAGATAATCTATGTTTAAAATATAACTCTGCAAGTTAATGACTGGCACTTTAACTACACTACAGCCGTTTCTGCTGTGTATGTAGAATTGGCCACTAGTTTATTGGGATGTTTCTGTATTATTTAGGATATTGATTTTGTGATAGAACTAATTTTTGTGGCTTTTGTGGCAGTGGTTTTACTTTGCAAACAAAAATATTGATCCACTTTTACAGATATCCTTGTATCAACATTGTAAAGAATCTAATGGATGCACATTTATACATAATCAAGAAATGGGTGGTGGATTACCTGGCAGAAAACAAGTAAGAGTTGTCCTAAGGTGTACAGAAAATAACTCAACTTTGTAAAAATTTCTCTGTGAAAAAACCTTAAGGATTGAACAATGTTTTAATTTCAGGGCAATCAACTCAATAAAGGGGGAACTCATTCCTTATCTGGTGAATAAACAGTTTCAAGAACACAAAAATGTGGACAGAGAAGTCACTGGAACTGGAGAAAAGAAGTTTCTCAATCAAGAGTCAGCCAATAATAAAATAGGTAAACACCCTTCGGGGGAATTGTTTGTATTTCTCATCCTTGGAGACCCAGGGGCAGTTAGTCGGGTTGATAAATCTTACAGTAAACTTTCACCACGAACATTTTATCGACCCGACTAACTGTCCCTGGGTCTCCAAGGATGTGTATTTCTCAGCTATCCTCATGGCTGAAATGCTTTCCTGGTCTTTCAAAATACACTGAAATGTGCTTTCAGTCTCCTCAAAATTTATCTTTCTTAACCCTTTAAGCCTCAACATCCACATACCAATTCTCCAAACTGATCTCTATACATTTCTTTAAAGAATAAGTTGAGAGAATTTGATAATAGATCAAAGCATTTTCTCTGTAGTGATCACTTCATTAATTCTCATAACCTGATCTCTTGACAAGGTATGGATATCGTTAGGAGAAAATTGGTGTTGGTCATCATTGGGGCTTAAAGGGTTTTAATGAAAAAGGAACAAGCCCTTCCTTATACCCCCTCCCACATGAATAAAAACCTTTCAATCTTCTCTTATCAGCTACTAGATTTTTTTCCCTTTTACCTTAACATTTTTGGAGAACCCTGATAAAGCTTGTTAATCTTTGCTTTCTTACCAGATATTTATGACTATGTAAGAGAGGGTGACATTACAATGTATACTAGAGAGCTGTCCTCCTGGAGTGGTACACTAACAGATATTGACCATAGCAACACCATCAGATGTCATGCGTTTCTCATGGAAAGTGGAACGTGCCTGAGAACAAATACTGTGCCACTGTATATGGAGGCAAACAGACTGGTAATTTTTTTTTGTTTCTGTGCACTTTACTTCACTGGAAGATTAGATTACAACTTGTCCGTGGAGAGTAAGTGATTAGTGGAAGTCGCTCATGGTGCCACAATGTACCTCCAGTCTGTTTTTTGTTATAATGGCTTTTGGTAGTTATATGTTGTGTGGAAAGAGTTAAATGAATCGAGGGTTGCAGGTGTTTTAATATTGAATTTAGAGATTTTTCTATTTTCTTACTATAGATATCAAAACTTTTGCCATCTCTGATGGCAAAGGAAATCCCATTGATTCACCCGTTGGCATCAATAAACCCCAAATCACAGGTAGGAAATCATTTAACGATAATTATGGTGCATTGAATCATATATGACTGGTTTTACTACATGTACAGTGTATGTGCTAAGAAGAATGACTCAGTAATATTGATTAGCCTGCTTGTTGGTTCTCACCACTGCTCCCACTACTTCCAACTTCGAGATTATTTCTTCCTTCTACCACTTAATATAATAAATATTTTGGTTTAAAATTTCTTTTCATAATAATTTTAGTTTGATCAAACTTTAAAGGCTGGTAGTACATCAAACTGCAAAATCTCTTCACTACTCTGGACACCTCTGGATCTTATGAGTCTAAATGAAGATTTCTTTTTTTATTTTTTAGGTGGGGAATGATTGTATGTTGGATGAAAGTGTTTCAGTGGGAGAGAAAGTTTCAATAAAGAAATCTGTGATCGGTAAACACACCACCATTGGAGAGAAAGTCAAGATCAGTAACTCTGTAATCATGGATCATGTAACCATCAGAGATGGGTAAGTCAATAATAATATTATTATTACAAAATATGCCAACCATTCCTTTCTTTTGATCTGTGAAGACTCAGGGACATTCAGGTAGGGCAGAAGGATTCACTTTAAAAGTGCTGTCAGTTTTTGTCATTGTATAATTTTCACCTGCCCCAACTAGGTGTTGCTCTTTCTGACTTTCTGCTAGTGCACAGTGGATCCCTTTAAAACAGTGAAGTGGCTTGAATTACATTATTGGTGATGAATGTTTTATTTTTTTTTACACTTACAGTCACACCAGGTAAAGTGTATCGCCCCTAGATTCCATTAATGAATCCATTATTTGAAAAAATGAATCTGTTAGTTGTGCCACAACCAGTATTCCAAATTCAAATCTGCATTTCAGCATGTGTAATGAGCAGTGATATTTTGGCTACAACTTCTCAGTTTTGGGTTGGATTGAAAAATCTTTGAATGGATAAAATGCTTTGAAAGCATTTATATCAAATTCAAGAAAACTGAGCTGGCAGAAATTTTATAACTTCCTAATGTGTGAATTCACTTCTCAATACGCATGCAGGAATGCAGAGATGAATCTGAAATCTACCATTACCAACTACCAACGGATTTAACTTTCGAAAACAATAAATTGATTAAAAAATTGATTCTTGTGGAGTATGCTTGACCAGGCTTTACCTTAACATTCTGTTATTATTATGGTTTGTCTTGCTAGATGCAACATCCAAGGGAGCATTATATGCACAAATGCATACATCAAAGACAATGCCAGTCTTAAAGATTGCCAGGTTGGAGACTCGCATACCATAACAGAGGCAGGTGAGTGGTTGAGGCTATTTAATTTGATTTTATGTTTTTAAACTAATTAACGAATATTACAAATTAAATAATTTTTAATGTGCAGTTAAGCTTGTGTAGCCAAAGACATTCTAGGCTGTGTGGCAAGGGCTCTTCTTAAATTGAAAATACCGTGAAATTCCGAAAATAAGCCTCTCCATGTATAAGCCCCTCCAAATATAAGCCCCCCAAGCCGGTAATGTAAAAAACCCTCCAATAAATCATCCCTCCAAATATAAGCCCCGTGGGGGCTTGTAATTGGAAAATTGCCCTCAAATGCAAAGTGAATCAAAGCAAAACGGTAAATTTACTTCCAACTATAAGGCTAGCCCAATCAATTTTGAGACACAAATTTCTCTCTGCAGATAAGCCCCTCCGAATATAAGCCCCTCCAAAAATAAGCCCCTCAAAAAGGGCCTTTGAAAAATATGAGCCCCGTGGCTTATTTTCAGAATTTTATGGTAGCTGTTTTCTTTTCAGAAAAGGTACGGTATACACACATAGCCTTAGTCTAGGCTGCTTTTTATATTATAGCTGATAAAGTCTTGGGGTAGGAATATATGATGTAGTCGCAAGAGCATTTGCCTTCCATCAATGTGACCTGGGTTCAAATCGTGGCGTCAACACCATACGTGGGTGAAGTCTTTTGTTGGTTCTCTCCTTTGCTCTGAGTGGTGTTTTTTTGGGTACTCTGGATTCCCCCCCTCCTCAAAAACCAACATTTCTTAATTCCAATTCGTCTGTGAATGGCCAGTACTAAGACAAAGAACCACTTAAAATTGTGGATCTGCTACACTGTACCTTAAAATCATTATTTATATTATTTATTTATTTACTTAAGTGTTTGCGAAGAATAAATTTTATTAAACTCTCATTTGTTTTTCAGACAAGTCAATTGTGTAAAACTTACACCTTTAGTTCTTTTCTTTTTTATAGCTGATCTGAAGGGAGAGGCCCTCACTGCAGAACAGATAATGGACTTTGAATGATAAAGAGATAAAATAGCTGAACTGAAACACTCCAAAAGAATAACTGTTTTAACAGTTATTCTTCTTTTTGGCCTCAAAGATTTAAAAATCTTTGAGGCACTAAATAATATATTCTGAATTCTACATAGTTAACTGTGCAGCCAAATTCTTTTTAGCTTGCATGTGGCACTTCCACAAACAGCTCCAGTACTACCACGCTTCGTAAAATTCTCAAATAAAACATTGAATAAATATATTAGTATTATTATAATATTATTTACTAAGTCTATTATTATAAATTATTTTGTTAATATTTATATCCCTGCCCTTTGAACCCAAAATTCGCAAGATATTTACAGTCACCACAACAAGAACCATATGATAATGTTATTATTATAATATTCCTATTAATATTCTTATAGCATTGTAACACATAAATCCCTTCTTTGGGGGTTGGCACTGTTTATTATCAGCTGATAAATTAACATAAGTAGAGGTGTGCGGAAAAGGGACCTGAATAATGAAGTGTTGGAAACATTACCACTTTTTACCTCATTTTTGCTTCTTTCTTCCTTCGCCCCCATCCCCCCCCCCCCCCCCCCCCCCCCCCCCCCCCACACCACACACACACACTTGAAGGTCAATTTTTCATGTGTGTGTAACTGTTGTTCTGTTATATTGTACAAAACTAAAGTGTTTGTGTACATAATTGTTCTGTTATATTCCAAGACTGAATTGAATAGACAGGGGAATATTTAGCGAAAGGGAAGACTATATATTTTGAAGATTTACATAAACGGCATAAAATGGAGCAAGTTTACAATCTTAAATTCCCAACTGATTAGTCCTTGATTGTAGTTATCACAATTCACTTGGGGCTTTTTCTTGTGGGCACCCTTTAGTTATCGACAGTGGTCCATTCTTCTTCGTCTGAAATACCTTCTAGAGTCTGTTTCAAAATCCTGTTGAATTCCTTGGCATTGTCAACATGAATGTCATGGCCAGCATTCTTTACAATAAAGACTTCTACCTTGGAATTCTCTCGAGTACATTTGATCTCGTACGCAGTGCGATGGTCAAAAAATGTCGACGATCCGTACATTACTGTCATTGGAATATCATCGGGAAGCTCTGAGACTCGTTTTACCATCGGCGATTTGGCCCACATTAGGAAAACATTCATGTGTCGAAATGCGTCTTCACCTGAGGGAGTCTGAGCATTGCAGTGGTAGATGTACTCGAGCATCGTCTTGTCCTTCCAAAGCTCCGATTCTTGTTTGTTTGTGTCGAATTGTGCCAAGCGAGCAATCCATGGTCCGAGCGGTCCAAAAACTCTAAGAGGGGAAAGCACATTACAGGTATTAATAAGGAAATTGGAAAAGTGAACCCATCGTGGAAGAACATCATATTGCTGTTCAGAATCGGGATGTCGGTCGACTATTCCGCCAGGTAAAATCGCGAAACCCCAGGGGTCAGAAAGAAGAAGATGCTCGATTCTCTCAGGATATTTCAAAGCATAAGCCGTGACTATATACCCTCCTAGGCTATGCCCAAGAAGGATAATCTTTTCCAGCCCCATCGCCCTTCTCCATTCTTCAATGTATTGAACAAATTTGTTCTCAGCTTCTTTGCAGTCGCTTGAAAACACAGGTCGGGAACTTCGACCGAAACCTGGTAAATCGAACGCAAAGACGCTTCTCTCTTCACTCAGGTCGGTGAAGTTTTGCGCCCACCAACAGACGCCACTTATGAATCCGTGGACAAGGACAAGTGGAGGTTCCTTTGACGGCGTCAGATTCACTTGAATGGTCCACATTTCAACGTCGTCGCCCACACGAATAAAATTACCGATCCATGGTCGTTTTATCCGCTTCAGAATTTTGGACTCCGCGTCTTGAAGTTGTTCCTTTGATGTCGGAAACCATAAGCTTGATACCCAGTCGCAAATGGTCTTCAAAATTTCGCTCATTGCTTGCAGAACTGAAACTTCAATGAGCAGTATTTTATTGCAAAAACCAAAATTAATTTGAGGCACAGAGCAGGTACAAAGTTTGTTTACATCTTTAAATATTGGAATCACGTGACTGCAAATGGCGCCACGTACATGCTCTTGAATTTGGGTTGACCGCAAACATATTCTTTTTGGCAAAAATAGGTGACAGCGTTCTCACGCGAACATGTTGCAGTTTTTATTCGATCCGATCCAACTTCAGCTTGCACTGATGCGCGATATTTTTTTTTGTGAAAAACCCACAGAGCTTTATGTGTTTGGGGTGTGGCCTTACCTTTTGAAATTTTCTCTAATGCGTGTGAGGAGAAGTGATGTTGACTAAACTGACAGTTTATAAAACTGAAAATCACACCGAAACGAAAAAAGGACCAGTATGTTACAAGAGCGTTCTGAATCAAGAGTGTACATAACGGGCTTCTGTAACAACCCGTTCAACGTAACAGGGCAGATATGCACTTTGCAAATTCATGAACGGTCATGATACACTCATACATAGAATTTATTTAAACAGTATAGCTTACTCGCAAAAAGGATTTCCTTGCGACCACCGAGGGTAATATTTGGGAAAGGATGGCAATTTTTGGAAGTCTCGACCAGCCAGGCTGCCCGGCCCAATGTAGAAGCCCACAGCTACGTGGCCTCACACGCAGGCGTCTTTAGGGGTAGGGATGAGAAACGAGCTCCCCTGAAAACGCCTGCATTGGAGGCTAACAGCTATCTAGACTTTGTAAAACAGCCCCATCCTCCACTCCCCCTCTCAGAGGAGAGGGGGCAGCTGTACGCAGGCTACAGCTACCGAGACATGGACCGACAAGAGATCAACAATTTCTTTTCATATATTTAATGGTGTTAACTGTATGTAATAATGATAATGTTTAAAAAAGTCATGAGAATAATAATCATAACAACAACAACAGATCTCATCTGTAATCAAGGGGGACTTGACAGGAGCCCGCATCCGTTACCGAAAGCTTGTTTGCTGGGAACAGATAGAAATATATAAGAAAGGTGGCAGACACCTTACGGGACAGAATGTCACATCAGGAAATGAAGTAGTCTAAAGACTAAGAAAACCGTGTGAATTGACAGTAATGATAATAATAATAATAATTAATAATAGTAATAATGTTGCGACACTTAAAAGCTCAGAGGAGCTTGTTTTGTCCACGAGCAATACTATGTCATAACTAATAAAATGTATGCATTGTTGGTTTGTTTTGTTCGTGATGGAGGGTGTTTCAGTGGCAGAGGGAGAGAGAGAGAGAGAGGTAGACTGATCTGGGATAGATTATAGCGAATCAATATCAACTTGATTCCTGTTAAGGTTAAAAAATGCTCAAGCTACAATGTAATCAAACAAACATCACTCACTCATCAACTGATTTTAATACCATTTTAATAAAGCTAAACTATTCTTAATACAGCGATAAATCTCTTAACTTATTTCTTTACATACAAACGAAGACAAAAACGGAAAAAATTTCTACAAGAAATGGAACTCTAGTATTCGTTTAAGATATACTACAAAATAATGTTATTTATAATTACAACTGTTATCAGTAAATAGATAATGCATTCCTGTAATAAATTAAAAGTTGCTGTTTTAAAAAGATTCCAAGTTGAAAGCTATAGGAAACTATTTCCAGTACCATGTCTGGGAAATAACCCTAGTAGCATTCCTTAAATTGTTCTCATCTACAAACAGCAACAAGTCAACAAATCACAATCAGTCAAGTTGCCCATGGTTATCAACCCAAAATATCATTAGGAACATCATGGCAAAGTCAGCTCATAAAACTAAAAGCGTACACAGGCATGTGCTCTGGTGGTACCCAGTGGCCCTCAATACTTGATTTTGTCAATAGGGAGCTTAAGCAACAGTGTTTTTTGAGCGACGGACGTCAACCGAAAGTGGACTTTTTCCATCACTGGGGAATGGTTTGGTTGAAACTCTCGGGTAAATCGTCTTTAAAAGAGAAAAGAAACTCAGCAATACAAGTTTGTTAGCGTCAAGGCATATAAAAAGGGAGAAGGCCTCACTTCTGGTTGACATGCGTGGCTCAAAAAACGTCTTTGCTTAAGGTCCCTAATGGGTCTTACATATCACTTTAAATGCTTATACTGAGAAGCCTGATTTTAAAAACCGGGGAGGGGCTTTAACAGACATCACAGCATTTTTTGTAAATTTCCTTATGCACAGCCTCAAGCGATACCTGAATGAGCAGATAGTGACTTTCCGTGCCAAGGGTCCTCAGTAAGACCAAAATCTGCAAATTACACCCTTAAGTGAGACAACAAGCATCCCCATCACTTTTATAATTACGGAAGTTCCCCTCTCCCCTGGTTTTTCAGGCTCTCTACAATCTTCCTTGGAGCTCAGCCTTAAGGAAAAATGGAATAACTATTGTAAGGCAACAGGCAAAATGATTTTGATGTGACTTGAAAACAAAAGAATCCCGGGGAATTACATGTGAAAATAATATGCATTAAACATGTTTGTGATTAAATATGTTAACTCGTACTAAAGTTCCCGTTTACAAGACTTGGGCCAGCCAATTACATTAAATAACTTAATCTGTCTCTCCCATGATTGTTGTTCTGACTATAGCCTCGGTAACTCTGTATGGATCACAGTTAGAGGCTGGTCTCCTATCCTCAAGGTATCCACTACCATCTTCTGCACACTGGCGTGGAATTCGCACACTGGCACCACGATTGGCAACACCATGTGAAAAGCTATGGATGCTGGCTGTTTCATGACGACCTGTCAGACGGCGCTTGTTGTCTTCTCCTCCCTTTGGGTCATACATGCTGATATGGTAGGTGTGGCGGCTGGAGAGTTTCTCAATGGCTTCATAAATTTGTTTTATCCCTCCCTCTTCACGCATGGATTGGGTGCTAAGGAGGAAGGAAATAAGATAAGGTTCAGGCTATCGCAAAAATTATTAAATTTTCCTCAAAGGCCCTGGCCTTAACAACTTTGTAAGGGGTATGAGTGGGTTGAAAAGGGACAAGTAACTGTTTCCGTGGGGTGGGGAGCTTATAACTGCAATTATATGGCAAAATCTCTTCACTGGAACTATATCACAGAAAAAGTGTGAAGAATATGTATTTTAATAGTGGGGCTTAAGTGGGAGGGTGACACATCTGTGGCTCTAGATTCCCTGATTAGGTTAGAATTTGGCTTTTAGGTTACTGTGGAAGGGGTGGGAGGAAGGGGGACCAAGAGAAACTATAGAAATACATCAGAGCAGTGCAGATCATTTACAGGAAACTCTACTTACCTTTGAGTTAGGGGGCTTATTACCAAAGGGACAACATACTGGCCCGTCAAAACATGGAATTGCTGTTTGACCAGAAATGGTACTAAAAAAATTCAACTAACCTGTAGTTGGTGTGTGCTCCCGCTCCATTCCAGTCTCCAGGAATGGGTTTGGGGTCAAAGGAAACTTTGTAACCAAAATCTTCAGAGACACGATACAAGAGAAATCTGGACATCCATAGCTGGTCTCCCATGTCGATTCCTTCACAGGGTCCCACTTGGTATTCCCACTGGAAACAAAAAAAAAAGGATGTTCAGCATGACAATGTGACAGCTTTCAATAATACTTTTTCGTGTTGTGGAATTATCTTGCTATACTTCCGAAATACTCAGCTACACCCAACCTCTGCTCCTTTTTGTTACAATCCTTGCCTAAGGTGCCTAGCATGAAGTCACACGCTTCAACCACAGCTGGTCAGGAATGGAAGAGGCCTGAAGAGGTCTGAATTTCAAATCTGGTTGTTTCCTGTTATTTTTGTGGAGTACGCCATGTCCCTGTCCATATTTAACAGATCTTAATGTTATTTGTCGCCATTTTAGCTAGTCTTATGGTCACCAGGCCATGTCCTTTGTCAAAATTTTACCCCAACAGTGGAAGGGGTGGTCGATACATTAATAATAATTATTGCAGCCTTAATTTGTAGCTTGTTTCTATATTTAAGTTCTAGCCGAGTCTGTATCACTATATAGCCAAGAGGAATCAAAATGCTCTAACTGCCACCATAACCACTGTCCAAAGTCTTGACACTCAGACCCTCAATTTGTAGTATATACATGCTAAATGACCACAAGTTTACAATATTTTACTATAGAACTGACTAATCTCTGAATGTCTTAGAATATAATTCAAAGTTGGCAGCTAAATTGATCTAAAACCCAACAGTCCTGACCTGAGCTGGCATAACTTCCGCATTTGTTCCTGCAATTTTGACACCTGCATACAGGCAAGCACGATAGTGAGCTTCAACCACGTCACGTCCAAACACATTTCCAGTACCAACAGCACAGTAGTAGGGTCCCTGTGGCCCAGGGAACCCACCTTTTGGCCAGCCAAGAGGATGACCATCTTTGTCCAGCAATGTGTATTCTTGTTCAATACCAAACCAAGGCTTGGAACTCTAAGATGAACAATAATGTTAAACATTAATTTTATTTAATCAAGTAAAGTCAACATACTCCCAAAGTAAAATTATGCCATACTGGCTTTATTTTTTCCCAAAGAATTCAGGAAACATTATGCAGGTGCACAACACACGCTGACAAAATTTTGGAAATAATTGTTTTTTTTCTTAAGTGCAGCATTTTGTCATTGACTTTTAAAAAATGACCTTGTCCTCATATTTTAAGGAAAGTATGAGTTATGATAGGAAAAAAAATGTGTTGTGGCAAGTATGCAAAGCTGAATTTTTACAATACAACTTGGCACAACGATTAGCCAAGAGACTGAGAAGCTGTTTGTTTGTTATGGAATATGTTCTTTCAGGGACCTGTTCCTACATAACTGGGACAAAGAAAGTTTTCATTGGACCACAGTTTCCTTAGTATAGGTATTTATTATATCAGTAAGGTTCCAATGAAGAGTTTGAAAAATCTACTGAAATACGAGGTCAATGCTACCTAGGACTATTGGTGATGTTGTTTAGGGTATCACCTTAGCTGCTTAAATCAGAGGAATTCGGGTGACAATGAAAGGAAATTACGACAGTTAAGTACGATCATTGCTTAACAAGTTTGCACTTAACAATAAAATTAATGTAGTGGTAATGGGATGTCGTTTTTTCCGTTTACACAACGACATTTCTGTACCAGCGGTCAAACCACACCGACGAACGACGCCTTAAGAACGCCAAACATGCAAGCTACCCAGCTTATTGTGAAAATGTAAACATTCCACCCACCTACAAAAACCTCTACAAACGAAATTGATTCACTACCTATTAAAAACGATATGAGTTCACTGCAGTCGATAACACACTGTACAATAACTACGATCTTTAGCAGCTCTTTTAACCTTGGGAACATGACACTGGTACGAATAATTTTTATAAGCTCATTGATCGACTCGATAATTTTTTTTTGGCAAACTACCTATTTTTCAATCCAACATTAGGTTTCTTAAAAAACAACAACGACAATCAATGATGATGTGAAAGAAAGAGAGAAAGACAGGAAGAAAGAGGGACAGGGACGGAAAACACTACCTTACCATAATAACAAAATTAATAATCAAAAGGGTTCAAGGTCTACGTTGTCAGTGAAAACACTTCAGATAACCATGTAGATTCATTGAATGACAAGATTACTCTGGGCTAGACTTTCGCAGAAGTTTCGAGCAATTACATGAACATTTCAGGGGTCAAGTCATGCGTTAACTTGGCATTTTTCTTGGTTAATTAATTTTGCCGCGCAAATTTTGGCGCCGAACGGCGTTTTACTACGAACAAAAACAGTCTTCCTTAAATAAAGCTTTGACATGAACCTTTTTCTGTGTAGATTTTCTTCATTTTCACACTGAGATATCGAATAGTTTAAATGGCAAAGAAAAGCGTGAAAAGAGCGACTAAAAAAGTAAGGTTATGCCAAAAGTAGCTCAAGCTCGCCAGTTTTAAAATAACAACAACATCAACGTGTCGAACGCCACGTTAACTAACCTTGACTGTTGGTTCGTCCATGGCTTGTATGCAGGATAACCTATGGTTCGAAACTCCCGGCTTGTGATCGAAGTTAAGAGTCTCGCATAACACGATCTTGTTCTTTCCTCGCCTGAAGGGATCACGAAACAGTGCGACGGGGCGAAGATAAACGTCGCTGTTACAACCTTCAGCCTGGTATGTGCTCGAACCATCGAAGTTCCATATCGGGAGCTCGTCATGACTCGATGGTTCGGAATCTACTGTCTTCGTTTTACAACGCATGGATTCGCCGGTTCCATCAATCCAAACGTACAAGACTTGAACTCGCTCGCCTTGATCAAGGCTCATGTATTTGTCGAGAAGCGGCCTGCTTTCAGTGGCAGTCATCTTTAAGGAGTATCTGGGACTTGTTAAATAGTCAACCTGAACGAAAAGACAAAAGGTAATTCAGGTTTATAGTGCCAATTGCTTTGAAGCCAGGGATAAGGCTGAGATCACCAGAAACGAGCCGATAAAACTACCTTCGCGCACTAGGAAACGAATTATGCCACGCGGTGATCGGTCTACGAATTTATACATTCACTGGTCACATGTCTCAACAAGAGTATTTCCGTAAAAACCGGGTTCACGGGGCAAAGTTCTCTTACCTTCTATGTGCGAAAACCCTGTGCGAAAACCATAGACGAAATAATAATCTAACTTCCTGGAAGAGGAATGTTAAAATATCATGGAATTATCATGAAAATAACTTCACGTGAGGAGAAATAGTCGCTTCGATCGACAAAAAACAGATAAATTCGTATGATCTCACGAAACACGTGCTCCAACTACATGCATGTTTTTCACGTGATTTTTTTTTGTGATGACGCATAAAGCGAGGAATGCGACGTGAGGATTTTTCGTTTCATCGCGTCGGGAAATTTAGCCTGCGAGAGCATTCGGTTTTTCCGAGGGAGAGAAGCGAGGAACGGAAATACGTCTGCGGTTCGCGGGCTAGGCTACGGAAAGTTTGGCTTGAGCTGAGTGTCTCTTTCGCCGGATTCTCCGAGAGTTTTCATAGTAGGCTCTTGTATTAAAATCAGGAGCAGCTCCTGGTTGAAATAGAAGACTGGTTTTGCCATACTTTAGAATCAGGGCCCTGACAAAATCGCCATACAACCAATTTTAATCCCGTTCCTGACTCTTTCCAGCTTATTTTGACTTGCCGTTTTACAGCGTCCAATCATTAAATTGTAGGCAAAGAGAATGTACTGAAATGTGCTATGAAAGGGAATTGTGGCAAATTTCGAGCAAGCCCAATCATGGAGTTTAAACTTGAATTCTACCCAGCAAGGGGGAGCCGGCAAAAAAAAAAACAACGACAACAAACAGGACTTAGTTCTCTTGATTACATGCAACCCACTCGAATATTTTCAATACCCGTGATCAACCATGCAGTAATATCAGTTACGAGCATTTCAGTTTAACATTTGACCGATATAGTAACTGCATTTGGAGGGTATCTGTCCCCCACGAACATACGTATGTACAGTACGAACATACAGTACTGTTCTTTTAGCAAAATAAGCACTATCGCGGACATATCATTGTCCCGGAAAAACCTGCTGCGTTCGAAAAACATGACGACTTCCTACCAAACTGAAGATCAAACGGATATATGACGCCAGGGCGGTTAAAATAGTGTTTTAAAAAACCCTCAAAAGTTTTCCCGAAATAAAGAGTATGATATTATGAAGGTTCCGCATTCTTTATTAAGCGCGAAAAACCGCTTGGCTGGATGTACACCGATGCGTGTGGGCTGCTTTGACATTACTTTGTCACATATATAAAATTAATACATGATGAGATGTTTCAGTGTGCTAAAAAAGCAAAGCAAAACAAAACAAACAAATAAAAAAATCAGACAACAGGAAGCCATTTCTTTAGCCCTCGACCAGCTCATCATCTGATTGGAGAGCTTCGGCTCGCAGGATAGTTGCGAACAGGAGCGAAAGATGTTTTAATTGGGCGGGGCCGCATCAGAGAAGGGGAAACTGCTCTGGTAGTTGACAGCAGGATGATCGGCTCCTGTTGACGGTAAAAAGTTTACTTCCTTGATGACGGTTGACGTGATACAGTCTATCGGCGCGCATTGCTGCTTCAATATGACGTCATTCACATCGAAAATTACAAAAACGCGAAATATCTCGAGCTGAGGCCGACCGAGGGTACTTAACGCCTGTCGGTCGTTAGTACATAACTTGTGCAATCGATTACGTCTTTTTCGTGACCAGTGTCACGAAGAAACACGTGAAAGACGGCTTTACGGATCACCACATAGGAACCGTGTTTCCTTCTGAGCGTGTTACATATTACTGATGACATTGTCCTATTGCCTTTTTAAAGATTTTTCGATATAATAATTTTGGTACAGTGAGACAGGCCATCGCTTGATACATAGAGGTTTAAGTCACAATTTTTAATCAATTCTCGTGCTTCTTGTGCCTTTGCAAAAAAATCAAGAAGTGCTACACACTAAATCTACTTACTATTAAAAAAATATCATTTTTTCATAGGTTTAATGCAAGCCAATAATTAAACCCAGTCGTGACGGGAATATCTCGGTGAGCATTCGGAAGTCAGCCAAGCGTGGTCATTGCACGCGTGCTGAACAAGAATGCTGTATAATGACAGACTAGAAACAATAGACAACTCCCAAAGCACAAACTCAGCCAAAACGCTAAAAATCTTCAATGTTTACTCAAGTTTGGGCTTATAGAAGATAATGTCACAGTTTTTCAATGACCATGAAATTCAGAGTCCGGGTAGTTAGTTAATCAATTGTGGCCCT